AAGTTGATAGAAGCAGAAGATACTTGAAGACGATGTAATCAGTCCATCACCCTTAAAGTTTTGAGGTGGTCAGTCCCTCAGTCTGGAGAAGAGCATTGTTCCATAGTATGAAACAATATTGTTTCATACTATGGAACAATGCTCTTCTCCAGACTGAGGGACTGACCACCTCAAAACTTTAAGGGTGATGGACTGATTACATCGTCTTCAAGTATCTTCTGCTTCTATCAACTTTTCTGTTCTTGACTGAAGAAGCCTACTGTGTAGGCGAAACGTTTCACAATAAAGATACCTAACTGTTGCATATGTGTCTTACCTAACAACCTTGGTATTTAGTACCAATGTTTAAAACCCCAATCTGTCGACCTGCAATCACAGGCGCTTGGTACTACAATCCTACCATCAACTTATCTGACAAATTCCCACACACTGAAAGGGGCTGCATTTGAGTAGAAGGGCCCTTGCCTTATCAACATCTGGTTCTTCACCTTCCTAGTTTTTTGGCATACGTATCAAAACTCTTGGCGCCCAATAAATAAGCACCATTGTCAAATTCATCTCCATTTGTTTCATACTATGGAACAATGCTCTTCTCCAGACTGAGGGACTGACCACCTCAAAACTTTAAGGGTGATGGACTGATTACATCGTCTTCAAGTATCTTCTGCTTCTATCAACTTTTCTGTACTTGACTGAAGAAGCCTACTGTGTAGGCGAAACGTTTCACAATAAAGATACCTAACTGTTGCATATGTGTCTTACCTAACATACCTTAGAAGTACAGTTCAATAGGTCCTTAACAACCCCAGGACTCGATACGGCGCCCTGCTGCTGGAATCACGGCGCATGGGGGACATATCAAATACATCCCTACCAGTCATATTCTTTATGCTCTGAACAAAGTTTCTTTCCCGGACACTGGAAAGCGGGGCTCCATATGACGTAAGCTAATAGTGGCCCTGTAAAGCAGAGCAAAGGGAAAATAAACAAGACAGAATGTTCTGGGTTTTACTTGCGCCTTCCTGTTGTTATGTTAGTCTTTATATATTATTATTATTATCAACACATCGCCCCTTCAAGGCGCACTCGAGACATATAATAAGCACAGCCAATAGTCAACTGCCTTCCACTTTATTTAAAGTTTCATTCCGGGCAATAGAAGGCCGGACTCGTTACGGCGCATGCTGTGAAAGGCCCTATGAACCCAAACAACAACAAGACTTTTTCCTCTAGCAGCCAGAGCCTTTATACCCAGCGGAACCAACACAGGAAAATGATAAGATCGCAATAAGTTTTCCTGGACTTCAAAGTGAACTTTGTGTCGTGGACGAGGAGGTTCTTGTTCAGGTTCTGTGCGGGAGTTTATTGTTGTTGTTTGTAGTGACGTGTGATGCGTCAGAACCAGAATAACAGTGAAATTAAGTACTGGCCAGGGAGGCGTGGCCAGGTACAACACTACCTGGTGCAACACTACCTGGTGCAACACTACCTGGTACAACACTACCTGGTACAACACTACCTGGTGCAACACTACCTGGTACAACACTACCTGGTACAACACTACCTGGTGCAACACTACCTGGTACAACACTACCTGGTACAACACTACCTGGTGCAACACTACCTGGTACAACACTACCTGGTACAACACTACCTGGTACAACACTACCTGGTACAACACTACCTGGTACAACACTACCTGGTACAACACTACCTGGTACAACACTACCTGGTACAACACTACCTGGTACAACACTACCTGGTACAATACCTGGTACAACACTACCTGGTACAACACTACCTGGTGCAACACTACCTGGTACAACACTACCTGGTACAACACTACCTGGTACAACACTACCTGGTGCAACACTACCTGGTACAACACTACCTGGTACAACACTACCTGGTGCAACACTACCTGGTACAACACTACCTGGTACAACACTACCTGGTACAACACTACCTGGTACAACACTACCTGGTACAACACTACCTGGTACAACACTACCTGGTGCAACACTACCTGGTGCAACACTACCTGGTGCAACACTACCTGGTACAACACTACCTGGTACAACACTACCTGGTACAACACTACCTGGTGCAACACTACCTGGTGACAACACTACCTGGTACAACACTACCTGGTCAACACTACCTGGTACAACACTACCTGGTGCAACACTACCTGGTACAACACTACCTGGTGCAACACTACTGGTACAACACTACCTGGTACAACACTACCTGGTCTGCAACACTACCTGGTGCAACACTACCTGGTACAACACTACCTGGTGCAACACTACCTGGTGCAACACTACCTGGTACAACACTACCTGGTACAACACTACCTGGTACAACACTACCTGGTACAACACTACCTGGTGCAACACTACCTGGTACAACACTACCTGGTGCAACACTACCTGGTACAACACTACCTGGTACAACACTACCTGGTACAACACTACCTGGTACAACACTACCTGGTACAACACTACCTGGTGCAACACTACCTGGTACAACACTACCTGGTGCAACACTACCTGGTACAACACTACCTGGTACAACACTACCTGGTACAACACTACCTGGTACAACACATACCTGGTGCAAACACTACCTGGTGCAACACTACCTGGTACAACACTACCTGGTACAACACTACCTGGTGCAACACTACCTGGTACAACACTACCTGGTACAACACTACCTGGTACAACACTACCTGGTGCAACACTACCTGGTGCAACACTACCTGGTACAACACTACCTGGTACAACACTACCTGGTGCAACACTACCTGGTGCAACACTACCTGGTACAACACTACCTGGTACAACACTACCTGGTGCAAACTACCTGGTCAACACTACCTGGTGCAACACTACCTGGTACAACACTACCTGGTCAACACTACCTGGTTACAACACTACCTGGTGCAACACTACCTGGTGCAACACTACCTGGTACAACACTACCTGGTGCAACACTACCTGTGTGCAACACTACCTGGTGCAACACTACCTGGTACAACACTACCTGGTACAACACTACCTGGTACAACACTACCTGGTTGCAACACTACCTGGTGAACACTACCTGGTACAACACTACCTGGTACAACACTACCTGGTACAACACTACACTGGTACAACACTACCTGGTGACAACACTACCTGGTGCAACACTACCTGTACAACACTACCTGGTACAACACTACCTGGTGCAAACACTACCTGGTACAACACTACCTGGTACAACACTACCTGGTACAACACTACCTGGTACAAACACTACCTGGTACAACACTACCTGGTACAACACTACCTGGTCAACACTACCTGGTACAACACTACCTGGTTACAACACTACCTGGTGCAACACTACCTGGTACAACACTACCTGGTACAACCTACCTGGTCAACACTACCGGTCAACACTACCTGGTACAACACTACCTGTACAACACTACCTGGTACAACACTACCTGGTACAACACTACCTGGTCAACACTACCTGGTACAACACTACCTGGTACAACACTACTGGTACAACACTACCTGGTACAACACTACCTGGTGCAACACTACCTGGTACAACACTACCTGGTACAACACTACCTGGTACAACACTACCTGGTACAACACTACCTGGTACAACACTAACCTGGTACAACACTACCTGGTACAACACTACCTGGTGCAACACTACCTGGTACAACACTACCTGGTACACCTACCTGGTAACAACACTACCTGGTCAACACTACCTGGTACAACACTACCTGGTGCAACACTACCTGGTACAACACTACCTGGTACAACACTACCTGGTACAACACTACCTGGTACAACACTACCTGGTACAACACTACCTGGTACAACACTACCTGGTGCAACACTACCTGGTACAACACTACCTGGTACAACACTACCTGGTGCAACACTACCTGGTGCAACACTACTGGTACAACACTACCTGGTACAACACTACCTGGTGCAACACTACCTGGTGCAACACTACCTGGTACAACACTACTGGTACAACACTACCTGGTGCAACACTACCTGGTACAACACTACCTGGTACAACACTACCTGGTACAACACTACCTGGTACAAACACTAGCCTGGTACAACACTACCTTGGTGCAACACTATCCTGTACAACACTACCTGGTACAACACTACCTGGTACAACACACCTGTACAACACTATGGTGCAACACTACCTGGTACAACACTACCTGGTACAACACTACCTGGTACAAACACTACCTGGTACAACACTACCTGGTACAACACTACCTGGTCAACACTACTGGTACAACACTACCTGGTACAACACTACCTGTGGTCTTCAACATACCTGGTACAACACTACCTGGTACAACACTACCTGGTGCAACACTACCTGGTACAACACTACTGGTAAACACTACCTGGTACAACACTACCTGGTACAACACTACTGGTACAACACTACCTGGTGCAACACTACCTGGTACAACACTACCTGGTACAACACTACCTGGTGCAAACTACCTGGTACAACACTACCTGGTACAACACTACCTGGTGCAACACTACCTGGTACAACACTACCTGGTACAACACTACCTGGATACAAACGTACACTGGGTGAAACACTACCTGGTGCAACACTACTGGTACAACACTACCTGGTACAACACTACCTGGTCAACACTACCTGGCTGCAACACTACCTGGTGAAACACTACTGGTCAACACTACCTGGTACAACACTTACCTGGTCAACACTACCTGTGCAACACTACCTGGTCAACACTACCTGGTACAACACTACCTGGTACAAACTACCTGGTACAACACTACTGGTACAACACTACCTGGTACAAACATACCTGGTACAACATCCTGGTACAACACTACCTGTACAACACTTACCTGGTACAACTACCTGGTCAGTCAACACTACCTGGTACAACACTACCTGGTACAATACCTGGTGCAACACTACCTGGTACAACACTACCTGGTGCAACACTACCTGGTACAACACTACCTGGTACAACACTACCTGGTACAACACTACCTGGTACAACACTCCCTAGTCCAACAGTCCCTGGTACAACACTACTTGGTACAACAATATGTGGTACAACACCCCTTGTACAGCACTACCTGGTACAAGACTCCTTGGTACAAAACCCTAGTACAACACTACATGGTACAACTCTACTCAGTATAAAACTACCTGGTTCAACACTACCTGGTTCAACTCTACCTGGTACAACACTACCTGGTACAACACTACTTGGTACAACACTCCCTGGTACAACTCTCTGGTACAATGCTACCTGGTAAAACTCTACCTGGTACAACACTCCCTGGTACACCACTTCCTAGTACAACACTACCTTTTACAACACTCTGGTACAGTGCTACCTGGTACAACACTACCTGGTACAAATCAGTACAACACTACCTGGTACAATACTACCCAGTACAACAGTACCTGGTACAACCCTCTTTGATACAACTTCCTGGTACAATACCTGGTACAACACTCCCTGGTATCACTCACACAGATACAACACTCCCAGGTACAACACACCAGGGTACAACGCTCCTAGGTACAACACACCCTGGTACAACACTCCCAGGTACAACACACCCTGGTACCACACTCCCAGGTACAACACTCCCTGGTAGAACACTCCCATGTACAATACACCCTGGTAGAGCACTCCCAGGTACAACACATCTTGGTAGAACACTCCCAGGTAGAACATTCCCAGGTACAACACTCTCTGGTACAACACTCCCAGGTACAACACTCCCTGGTACAACACTCCCAGGTACTTACATTAATTTGGTCAAATTATTGGCAAGTGCTAACCTATCTTAACTTAGCCTAAGCTATGCTATCTTAACCTAAAATAAACACAAATTATATTTTCTATACCTACTTCATAATTATATTATAAATTCCTGAAGAGTCTAAAATAAATGTGCACTTAGTGCTTGAGACTGAGAAAAAGTTATTGTTTTTTTTTTTATTAACACATCGGCCACTTCCCACCAAGGTAGGGTAGCCACTATCATCATCCTTCACTCCACTGTCTTGCCAGAGGTGCACTCACACTTCAGTTATAAATTTGCAACATTAATACCCCTCCTTGAGAGTGCAGACACTGTACTTCCCATCTCCAAGACTTAAGTCAAGCCTGCCAGTTTCTCTGAATCCCTTCATAAATGTTACCTTGCTCACACTCCAACAGCACATCAAGTCCTAAAATCCATTTGTCTCAATATGCTCATATCTAACACTCTCATGCATGCCTGCTGGAAGTCCAAGCCCCTCGCACACAAAACCTCCTTTACCCCTTCCTTCCAACCTTTCCTAGGCCTTCCCTCCACTACAGATTAATACACTCTCCAAGTCATTCTATTTTGTTCCACCTTCTCTACATGTCCAAACCACCTCAACAACCCCTTCTCAGCCCTCTGGATAATAGTTTTGGTAATCCCGCACATCCTCCTAATTTCCAAACTACAAATTCTCTGCATTATATCACCACACATTCTCTCAACATGACATTCCCAACTCTCAACTTCTCTGTTTCACATTCCCACCTATTTTCACACCATACAAGTGTTAGTATAACTATACTCACATACATTTCCCTGTTTGCTTCCATGGACAAAGTTCTTTGTCTCCACAGACTCCTAAGTGCACCACTCACTTTTTCCACTCATCAGTTCTATGATTCACCTCATCTTTCATAGACCCATCTGTGGATACATCCACTCTTGTCATGGACAAGCACCTAAGGCATTCCTGATCCCGGGCTGTGCTCGTAACTGGTTTGCGTGAGCCAGCAGCAACAGCCTTGTTGATCAGGCGCTGATCCACCAGGAGGCCTGGTCACAGACCGGGCCGCGGGGGCGTTGACCCCCGAAACTCTCTCCAGGTAAACTCCAGGTAAACTCCTAAATATCTGAATACATTCACCTCCTCTATACTCTCTCCCTCCAATCTGATATCCAATCTTTCATCAACTAATTTTTTTGTTATCCTCATCACCTTGCTCTTTGCTATAAATATTCACTTTTAATTTTCTTCTTTTATATACCCTACCCAACTCATCCACCAACTTCTGCAACCTCTCTTCAGAATCTCCCAAAAGCACAGTGTCATCAGCAAAGAGCAACTGTAACAACTCCTTTATCTTTTAACTCCACACCTCTTGCCAACACCTGCGCATTCACTTCGCTTACAACCCCATCTGTAAATATATTGACCAACCACGGTGACATCACAAATTTTTGTCTAAGGCTTACTTTTAATGAGAAATGATCTCCCTCTCTCCTACATACTCTAACCTGAGCCTCACTATCCTCATAAAAACTCTTCAGTGCTTTCAGTAACCTACCTCCTATCCCATACATTTGTCTGGTGCAGAAATGGGTGATAATCTGCACACCAGCTTTTTGTTGGGTTACTAATGGTTTAAGATAATTAGTCGTAGTAGATCCCCAGGCATAATAAATACCGTTTGTGATTAGGGAGTGGTATATTGTAAGTAGTGTCATTTAGGGTACATAGTACCGTATCTTGGAGAGGATATTTTGGAGACGTACTTGGCTGTGTGTTGGATGTGGAAATGGAATTTAAGGTTGCAGTCAAGGTGAGGATCTAAAAATTTGCCCTCAGTGTGTCATGTAATGGGGAAACTATTGATCAATATGTTAAGTTGGATATTTAAAGCTCTGTTTCCAAACAGCATGTAGTAGGTTTTGTCTATATTGAGTGTGAGTTTGTTGGTTGTCATCCATGTACGTGTAGATGTTTTTGGTAGCTCATTAACGGTGTTACTGAGTGGTTGAATTTGAGTGGGAGAAGATGTAAGTAGTGTCATTTGTGAATAGAACAGGTTTAAGGAGATAAGATGCATTGGGGAGATCACTGATGTAAATGAGAAAGAGCAGAGGACCAAAGACACTGCCTTGAGGCACTCCTATGCTTACAGGCTGAGTAGACAATGTTACACTGTTTGTGGAGACATGCTGGTATCTGTTGCTAAGATAAAATTTTAGGTATGCAAGAGTATGTCCTTTGACCCCATAATGTTCTAGTTTAAGGTGCAAGATATTGTGATCCACTGTGTTGAATGCTTTCCACAGGTCAGTGAAGAATTCCAGAGGATATTCATTTTTTCAAGTGCTGCATAATGATATAATAATAATACTAATCCTCAATAGGGAAGTGGAGAAGAATCCTCCATAAGCCATCTGTATCATAAGAGATACTAAAATGACAGGAGCAAGGTACTAGTAACTGCTTCTGTATGAACTACAGCATGTGAAAAGAAACTGTACGACTGTTCTTTTTCAGGTCGCCCTGTGTTGGTGGGAGATGGCCGGTGTGTTAAAAATAATAAAAATAATTTATAATTGTTCTTAGCCTGTATTATCCTCCTCACCCTTATTACTCAGCACAAAACTATGGGGGTTTAGTGCTTTCTATGACTAACAACAAAAACAGCAGAATTGAACAACAACAACAGCTACTAATAATAATAGCAAAAGCTACAACAACCACAACCAACAATGTTAATAATTTGCTGTAAAATTAATTTTCATATGATTTCAGTGATGCAAAATTTTTGTTTTAGAGAACTTTAAAAAAAAAAATTCATACGAGCTTTTGTTGTCCATTTCTTTTTTTTTTTCAGAAAGTTTCTTTTGAGTGGATAATGGAGTAGAGAAATAGAGAGTAGTGAAGGTAGACTTAGACTAGACATAATATCTGCCTATCAGGAACATGACTGCCCCAACAGCAGCAGCAGTGTCACCAACATCACTGGTGGAACTCTCTGTCTCGTGCAGGTAAGCTGATGAAACACTGACACTGTAATGCTTAGTCTTTATTCCATGCTTTTTTAAGACTAAAATATTAAAACTACTAAAATACTAGAAGCTTGATGTAATGCACTGATGGGGGAGGGGGGTCCCAGGGGGGCCCCAGTGTTTGTTATGCTAAAAAATGAGAAAAAACTGTACCAAAAATAGTATTGTTTTTACAACTTAGTTATGTTACAATAAGCATTAAAAATACATGAGTTAAAAGTGTAATTTACTTGATGGATTTTGTCCATTATTTGAAAAATTTGTTATATTTTGACACGACTGGACGTTCTTTGCATATACAGTCATGTCATCAACACAGTGGACTAAGTCTGTGTTATCAGGTGTTTGTGTCCAGTAGTCAGTCAGTTAAGTGAACTACAACCTCTTAATCTAAACTCTCAGAGTAACGGATTTTTTGGCTCCAGTGGGCACCCCTCTTTCCAGAGTAATCTCTTTTATCAGATGTTTACTGTACTGTATTAGTTTGGCCAAAATGCACTGCATATTACTGGCTTTTGTGCCTACCAGTGTTTTATTGCATGTAAACTGTTGTTTTTTGTACCACACAAAAAAAATAAAAATTTGTATGTGAATACAGTAGGTTACTTTTGTGTTTCGTCTGTTATTTTTTAAGATGACTGATTTAAAGGCCATTCAGACAATCCCCCATTAGTGTATTACACTGAGGGTTGACTATGTGCTCATCTTCCACTTCTTGTGAACAGCTTTTAAAATTACCGCTCAGTTTTTTATTGCATTATCTATGCAGTCTGTGCATAAAAATATTTGCCACGAAAGAAATTTGAAAAGAGGAATAAAACACAGAAAGAGTTTAATGTCCAATAACCAGACACATCAGTGTCTGGTTATTGGACACATCAGTGTCTGGTTATTGGACACATCAATGTCTGGTTATTGGACACATCAGTGTCTGGTTATTGGACACATCAGTGTCTGGTTATTGGACACATCAGTGTCTGGTTATTGGACACATCAGTGTCTGGTTATTGAACACATCAATGTCAGGTCATTGGACACATCAATGTCTGGTTATTGGACACATCAGTGTCTGGTTATTGGACACATCAGTGTCTGGTTATTGAACACATCAATGTCTGGTTATTGGACACATCAATGTCTGGTTATTGGACACATCAATGTCAGGTCATTGGACACATCAGTGTCTGGTTATTGGACACATCAATGTCTGGTTATTGGACACATCAGTGTCTGGTTATTGGACACATCAGTGTCTGGTTATTGGACACATCAGTGTCTGGTTATTGGACACATCAGTGTCTGGTTATTGGACACATCAGTGTCTGGTTATTGGACACATCAATGTCAGGTCATTGGACACATCAGTGTCTGGTTATTGGACACATCAATGTCTGGTTATTGGACACATCAGTGTCTGGTTATTGGACACATCAGTGTCTGGTTATTGGACACATCAGTGTCTGGTTATTGGACACATCAGTGTCTGGTTATTGGACACATCAGTGTCTGGTTATTGGACACATCAGTGTCTGGTTATTGGACACATCAATGTCAGGTCATTGGACACATCAGTGTCTGGTTATTGGACACATCAATGTCTGGTTATTGGACACATCAGTGTCTGGTTATTGGACACATCAATGTCTGGTTATTGGACACATCAATGTCTGGTTATTGGACACATCAGTGTCTGGTTATTGGACACATCAGTGTCTGGTTATTGGACACATCAGTGTCTGGTTATTGGACACATCAGTGTCTGGTTATTGGACACATCAGTGTCTGGTTATTGGACACATCAGTGTCTGGTTATTGGACACATCAGTGTCTGGTTATTGGACACATCAGTGTCTGGTTATTGGACACATCAGTGTCTGGTTATTGGACACATCAATGTCTGGTTATTGGACACATCAGTGTCTGGTTATTGGACACATCAGTGTCTGGTTATTGAACACATCAATGTCTGGTTATTGGACACATCAATGTCTGGTTATTGGACACATCAATGTCAGGTCATTGGACACATCAGTGTCTGGTTATTGGACACATCAATGTCTGGTTATTGAACACATCAATGTCAGGTCATTGGACACATCAGTGTCTGGTTATTGGACACATCAATGTCTGGTTATTGAACACATCAATGTCAGGTCATTGGACACATCAGTGTCTGGTTATTGGACACATCAATGTCTGGTTATTGGACACATCAATGTCTGGTTATTGGACACATCAATGTCTGGTTATTGGACACATCAGTGGTTATTGGACACATCAATGTCTGGTTATTGGACACATCAATGTCTGGTTATTGGACACATCAATGTCTGGTTATTGGACACATCAATGTCTGGTTATTGGACACATCAGTGTCTGGTTATTGGACACATCAATGTCTGGTTATTGGACACATCCATGTCTGGTTATTGGACACATCAGTGTCTGGTTATTGGACACATCAATGTCTGGTTATTGGACACATCAATGTCTGGTTATTGGACACATCAATGTCTGGTTATTGGACACATCAATGTCTGGTTATTGGACACATCAGTGTCTGGTTATTGGACACATCAATGTCTGGTTATTGGACACATCAGTGTCTGGTTATTGGACACATCAATGTCAGGTCATTGGACACATCAGTGTCTGGTTATTGGACACATCAGTGTCTGGTTATTGGACACATCAATGTCAGGTCATTGGACACATCAATGTCAGGTCATTGGACACATCAGTGTCTGGTTATTGGACACATCAGTGTCTGGTTATTGGACACATCAATGTCAGGTTATTGGACACATCAGTGTCTGGTTATTGGACACATCAATGTCTGGTTATTGGACACATCAATGTCTGGTTATTGGACACATCAATGTCTGGTTATTGGACACATCAATGTCTGGTTATTGGACACATCAATGTCTGGTTATTGAACACATCAATGTCAGGTCATTGGACACATCAGTGTCTGGTTATTGGACACATCAATGTCAGGTCATTGGACACATCAGTGTCTGGTTATTGGACACATCAATGTCTGGTTATTGGACACATCAATGTCTGGTTATTGGACACATCAATGTCTGGTTATTGAACACATCAATGTCAGGTCATTGGACACATCAGTGTCTGGTTATTGGACACATCAATGTCTGGTTATTGGACACATCAGTGTCTGGTTATTGGACACATCAATGTCAGGTCATTGGACACATCAGTGTCTGGTTATTGGACACATCAATGTCAGGTCATTGGACACATCAATGTCTGGTTATTGGACACATCAATGTCAGGTCATTGGACACATCAATGTCAGGTCATTGGACACATCAATGTCAGGTCATTGGACACATCAATGTCTGGTTATTGGACCTCTGTCTTTCATTATTTGTTTTTTTTTTATTCTTTCTACTCGGTACACTATCACCAGCAAATTTTTTTTTTATTTTATTGCACACCAAAGATATTTACAGAGACACATACAGCAATGTGAGCATTGTACATACTTGAAATGAAAGTTTTTGTGCTTGTGCTAGTTTAATTTCTAGAAAAATGCTGTGAACACCACAAGCTTGGCAGGAAGTACAGTTTTTAAGACAGTTAAATTATAATTGGGTGGTTCATTTGAACTGTGATGTCGATACTTTTCTGGGAAGACAGCTGAAGGTCGGGTAATGTTGTATGTGTCTGTCTTCTTCAGGTAACCCAAACAAGACAGATCCATGGCCGTTCTGTTCAAAAAAGGAATATTTAAAGTTTGTTTGAATGGAAAATATTTTCTGAATGAGGGGAGAATGAGTGTTAGTACAGTGGACCCCCGTTTAACGATATTTTTTCATTCCAGAAGTATGTTCAGGTGCCAGTACTGACCGAATTTGTTCCCGTAAGGAATATTGTGAAGTAGATTAGTCCATTTCAGACCCCCAAACATACACGTACAAACGCACTTACATAAATACACTTACATAATTGGTCGCATTCGGAGGTAATCGTTATGCGGGGGTCCACTGTATTATACACTGCATTGAAAGTGACTCAGAAGGCTTTGCTTGGTGAATCCTCAGGCTGCAGCAGAGAGCTTCACTTATTAGATCCTTCATCTCAAAGCAGGGAGCTTGTAGGCCATTAATTGTATACAATACAGGCAAGTTGATTAAGAAAAGATTAAATTCAATTAACAAGGTATGTCGATGGTAATAATTTATAATAATAATAACTTATAATAATAAATTTTGAGGTAGTAGGTTGGTAGACAGCAACCACCCAGGGAGGTACTACCGTCCTGCCAAGTGAGTGTAAAATGGAAACCTGTAATTGTTTTACATGATGGTAGGATTGCTGGTGTCTTTTATCTGCCTCATAAACATGCAAGATTTCAGGTATGTCTTGCTACTTCTGCTTACACTTAGGTCACACTACACATACATGTACAAGCATATATGTATATACACACACCACTCTGGGTTTTCTTTTATTTACTTTCTAGTTTTTGTTCTTGTTTATTTCCTCTTATCTCCATGAGGAAGTGGAACAGAATTCTTCCTCCGTAAGCCATGCGTGTCGTAAGAGGCGACTAAAATGCCGGGAGCAAGGGGCTAGTAACCCCTTCTCCTGTTCAAATTACTTAATTTAAAAACAAAAACTTTCATTTTTCTTTTATGGCCACCCTGGCAATATAAACACAAATGCAGTATAATGTGATCCTTTATTGACTACGTTTCGCCCACACAGTGGGCTTTTTCAAGTCACAAACAGAACTACCTGGGGTGGAAGGAACGCGAGTATATATAGTCCGGCTGAGGTCAGGTGAAGAATGCTGCATCTGATGATGTACCGAGTGGGGTTATAGAATCTAAAAACTTGGGTAGCTTGGAAAGGAGATTGGATAAGTTTGTGAGCAGACCTTCTACAGTGTTCTTATGTGATCTTCTCAATCGCATTCGCAACATCAACATCAGGAACAAGAAACTTTC